AACATTTTTGTCCAATTAGCAATAGGAATAGCACTTAGACTTATATACTGCTTCATATACCATAATGCTTTAGAGCAGTCTGAGCTATTTCCAAATGTTAGTATATTGTACCCAACAATATGGCTCCTCATTTTATCAACCTCGGGAGGATGGAAAACTGAGTTAACCTTGAGCCGGTCAGGATCAAACTCCTGGCTATGGGCAGAGATAGCCTGTAATACTGCATTCTAATCACTGCACCACCATGGCTCCAATTAATTTACTTCTGCCACAAGGAAAATCAGATATGTATTATAAACTGTTCCTGAGTACCATCTATGGCTTGCTGCATTACATTAATTTTTTTCCTCTTAAAAGTAGACACTAGGTTTGTAGAAACAGGTATATGTATTGCTGTAAATTGTGCCAACATTTTATCTTCCAGGAACTCTAAGCTTTTTAATCTAAAAACTATATAGGCAGTTCTTATTTCATGCCCACAATTGCGACTGGGAATTCAGTTGTTAAGCAAAATGGTCGCTAAAAATCACAACTGTGCTTACGATATTACTTCAGTTTTCTTTTGCTTTACAAACTTGCAGAGATCATAATTTTGCTTTATTTATCATAAATAATAAAAAAGCTCTAGTATCATGTTAGTAAATACTACAGTAATGATCATTATTTCAGGATTGCTGTTATTCAACTTATATATAAAAGCCGTTCAAACTTGATTCTTCCTTTGAAATTTTACTAAATAATGACAACTTTAATTCCACAGAAATAATTACAATATTACATACTTAAAGAGCTATCTCCCATACGTAGCATTCACTGGAATAAAACACTGAAGCCAGTTGGGGTTTTCCCTTCACGCTATTCAGTCTTTTCTTATAGATTTATTTTACTATTTACTATTGTAAATAAGTTGTACTATTTCATAGAAGGACATGAATAAATTTTACACTAATTGTGCAGATTTAATGAGCATTAGTGAATGTTACTGCTGAGTCAGGGGAATTATAGCAAAAAAATGTGGTTTTTTATATGATCTTAATCATAGAACTATTAAAATTATAAAAGACTGAATGCCATCGAATGTACACATTTGCTACATAAGAGTATCACAAGAATCAGTGAACATATGCATCAATAAATACTTGTTTAAATATACATAAGAAGAACATGAACCTCTGTTCATTAACATCATCAAAGCAAGATGCATTGATTGCAATTTTATTATAATGTAAATCAGAACATCATTTCTTTAGAAAAAGAGAATCAAGAGCAGTTCCTAACATTAACAGTCAAAAGAGAGTATATTTTTTTATCCTCCCTTCCTTAATAATTTCCTGTGGTAAGACAAAAATGCAGGGGATAAAAAATAAGATCTATGCATGGAATGTAAGATGCATAAACATACATGTAAGATTTAATGCTTGACGCCTCCGTAATTGCATACCAATGTTTTGCCTGGACAAACAACCTGAACAAGTGTAGTTGCATCTAATATATACATTTGTAACATCAGAATATGTGTGTTCGTGTGTGTGTATGTGTATGTATATGCACACACACACATATATATATAAAATTTGTTTTCCAAAAATCTGTCTATTCTTTTTCTTCTTTTTTTCTAATTTACATAGTTCATTAAATAGCTGAAAACACCTTTCATTTACAAAATGAAATCTATTCTTATAGTTTGGGATGGGGAAAACTGATTTTAATTTACAATTATGCCACCTTTTTGAGAAAGCAATTGGATTAGGGTGAGAAACAAATATGAAAAATCAATATTTCTCTGTCATGTGAGTATTTTTTTTTTTTTTTTTTGTTCATCCCCGGTAGTCATTCCAGAACTGTGATCTTCTCACACAGGACATATAGCCATCTGGATGCTGCACTTCTTAGTATAACCTTACCTTCCTCATCTAGTTCCTTCCATATGTGTTGGACTATGGAAATTCTTGCTGGAAGATTCTAGGAGTTGTGATTCTAGGAGCAATAATTCTCAGCATCTATGTCTTTGAGGAACTAGAATATGCTGTATTATATCTGGATTGGTTTGCCTGAATTTGTCCTGTAATAAGGCCAGTAGGACAGGGAAAGGAAAATGATGAAAGTAGGGGTGGGCTGCTGGGGGTTTGCAGGGGTTTGGGAGAACCTCTAGCTAAGATTCTGTGCAGTTGGAGAACCCCCAAATCCCACTCCTGACTGGCCCTGCCCACCCCGCCCTGTCCCTCCCAAGAGTCCCCACATGGCCCATTTTGGATGCAGGTAACTGCAGGGCACGCACGGAGGCTCGGGGAGGGTGAAAAATGGGCCTATTGGAAAGTTGAGAAAGCCAGAAATGGGCCCGTTTCCAGCCTCCAGAGGGCCTCCGGAGCCTGGGAAGGCCATTTTCGCCCTCAAGCCTCAAGTCCGGAGCCCAAGGAGGGCAAAAACACCAACACCACCCCACCGTAGTGCAGGAGGCCAACTAGGCCACGCCCACCATGGCCATGCCCACCCAGCAATTGGGCAGAGAACCCCTTGCTAAAAATTTTGAAGCCCACCCCAGGATGAAAGACATTTCATACTGAGAGGGAAAGTACTGCTGTCCGCTCTAGACCAAGAACAACAGAGAGCAATCCAGCCAAAGTTCACTTATTTATTTGCTCACACCAAATAGAGATTCTAGGGAATGGCTCTTCTAATTCTATTTCTCTGACTCTACCCAGTTCTGAGCTGTGCTACCTCTTGTCTCACCTCCTCCTTGGAATGCATTCCCTCCTTCCTGAGAAACTGCTGCTTCATTGTAGTTCATCATATTACCTCCCCCTCCGAGGGCACCATCCATCACATCACCATTAAGTACATTTCTTTTTGAATCAAAATGTTTTTTGCAAGTATTTATTATGTCGTTACTGCCTCTAGCATTTCACTGCCTGAAAATTGAATGCAGGCTGATGAAATCAGTAGAAGGAGAAAAAAATGTTCTAAGCGGGCCATATGAGCCGTCCCTCCTGAGATGATCTAGACCAGGCAGTGTCAAACTGGTGGCCCATGGGCCAGATGCATCCTGTGCAGGCCACGCCCACCCGGTTCCAAAAAGGCAAAAAACATCACAATATGTCGCGATACGTCATGTCATGCGATCGAGTTTGACACCTGTGATCTAGACCAATCAGGGATGATATCCAACCTTTTTGGGTTAGTGAGGATAGTTGGAATGTTCAGTACGTATTGTTAGTGGTCTTACCAAATGACGGCTGTGTGAGATACACTTTTGAAAAACAGAGAAAGAAATGCTGCCTAGGAAAGGGTCAAAGAAGAGAAAGTGCAAGCTTACTTATAGTTTCAGGGTTCTATTCATGTAGCATTACAATAAAGCAGAAGTAGCTCATTCAGTCTGTTTCCTGTCTGGTATACATGAATAGACTAACCTTCTTCTCTTCTTGATATCTTGCAAGTTGGAAAGGACAAATCTCACAACATTTCCTTTACAGTAAGAGAAGTTAGGGTGAGAACCTTCTGAAACTCCTTCTTCACCTTTTATGTAGCTGCCAGCTGAACCCTCTCTTTTGTGATCGTTCCTCAAGCAGCATTTTTTTGTTCCATTACTCAGGGTCTTTCTCACACAATGAGGGATATTCATTCATTCATTCATTCATTCATAAATCCATTTTATGAAGAACATTAGCTGTTACAAAATCCCTAATATACCTACTTTGGTTTTTCTTGTTTTATCCTTTTCAGAGCAACAGATTGATTGGCAGCTATCCATAATTTTTATTTATTTGATTTTCCAAGCAAGCTTATGGCCTCTTTTAAACACCAGAAACATTTGTGAAAATAAAATTGAAGCTGGAAATTGATTTTTTGCTTCGGCACCTGCTATTTCACATAGATTTTTTAAAAAATGTCTTAAAAGTAATATGGGAAGGGTAATCTGGTCCGTTTCTCCCCTGTATGTATACAAAACAACTTTCTCACATGCCTCAGAATACTGTAACTATATATGCCACTTTGAAGAGGGAAAACTTTTGATTCCTTTTTATGCACAGTGATCTGGAACCTGTTCAGTAAAATAAATATTTCCTTTTGGGACTACTGGCAATCATGTATACATAAACTGTGCCTAACCTTTGAAACAATTAATGAACAAATATGCTAGCAACAAAATCATTTGTGAGTACATCTGTTTGCCTTAAAGAAAATAGCTTTCCCCTTAGAAGGATAGCAAGTAGCAAATATTTGAAGAATTTACTATATTTTATACAAAAGTTTGCCATTTGATTATATTTCATTATCTTTCTGAAAGGACTGGTAAAAACATAAGAGTTCAAGTCCTAACCCAGGACCAGGGGTGAAATCCAGCAGGTTCTGACAGGTTCTGGAGAACCGGTAGCAGAAATTTTGAGCAGTTCGGAGAACCAGTAGCGGAAATTTTGAGTACTTCGGAGAACTGGCAGATACCACCTCTGGCTGGTTGCAATCTCCTTCCCCCAGGAGTGGGGAGGGAATGGGGATTTTGCAGTATCCTTCCCCTGGAGTGGGGTGGCAATGGAGATTTTGCAATCTCCTTCCCCCAGGAGTGGGGAGGGAATGGGGATTTTGCATTATCCTTCCCCTGGAGTGGGATGGGAATGGAGATTTTGCAGTATCCTTCCCTTGCCACCCCCACCAAGCCATGCCCACCAAGCCATGCCGACAGAACCGGTAGTAAAAAAAAATGGATTTCACCACTGCCCAGGATCTAAGAACTGTTAAGGTAGCATCTGAGTATATAGGCAGTTCTGAGTAGGGTGATTTTTTTGCAGAGTCAGGATATTCAGGTCTAATAAGTTCAAAATTTCCTTGATGTAAAATTTCACAAGAAATGGCCTAATAATCTGTTGATTGTTGAAATGGTTGAGTATATATAGCAAAGAATTATTACAATACTAAACTTGGAGGCAAATAAATTTCTATATGGTAACTTGCACTTATAGTAAATAAACTGTGCATGTCAAGAGTTGATGGACTAGAATACTTACAGTTAGGTTTTATTTGCTTTTCATTTACAGATGTAATTATTTATATCCTTTGCCATTAAAGTGGAAGGGGTAGTTTGAAGCCCAACAGATGTTGCTGTAACAGGGGTAGAGATTAACAATAGTAAAAAACAGATAGTCCATAATAGAGCCTGTCCATTGTAGTCATAGCATTAAGTGAATCATGTTAAATCAATGAGCCCCCATCTCTGCTCTTCTCAATGCATTCGTTAATTGAATGTTTGAGTCATTAAGTGTGCATGGAGTATCTCAAAGGTGGGGAAGACGATGGGGGCACCTAGTGCTGGAAAAAGACGCCCTGGCTCTGATCACCCAAGGCCTCCCCCCACCATCAATCAGCACCCAGATAAGCATAGATTGACTGCAAGTTTAACATCCAATCAACAATCAATACCCCAGTCAAGGAACTGCCAAACAAGCCAACAGTAGACAGCCCAGGGGTGAAATGCTCCCAGTTCGGACCGGATCGCCTGATCTGGTAGTGATGGAAGCGGATGGTTCAGAGAACCGGTAGCAAAAATCCCTGCCATCCTCCCCCCACCACCACCACATTGCCCAGCTGAGCCACGCAATCATCAGAGGTTTTTTTTTTTATTTTTAAAAGCATTTTTTCTACAACCTCTTCGGCCGAAGAGGTTATAGAAAAAATGCTTTTAAAAGTAAAAACAAAGCCTCTGCCGATCAGGCAAGTCAGCTAAGATCGTCAGAGGCTTTAAAAAAAAGGAAAAAAAGCCTCTGCCGATCAGGAAAATCAGCTGGGATCGTCAGAGACTATAAAAGCATTTTTTAACAACCTCTTCAGCCGAAGAGGTTGTAGAAAAATGGTTTTAAAAGTACAAAAAAAAAAAGTTGGCCACGCCCACTCAGTCATATTACCCCCCCCAAGCCACACCCACAGAACCGGTAGTAACAACATTTACATTTCACCACTGAAACAGCCCAACCAAAGAATCTCTAAGACACCCCCCCCCGCCCAATACTGACCAGGCAAATCACTAGAATATAAATTGAGAACAACCCTCTACTCCTTACCAGCATTGATGATGTAACCTAGTTTACATAATGAAATGTCTGCAAGAAAACAACCAAGCTCAAAGAGCACCAAGGAGCCCTCATTTCAACCCTGAGTTACAAATATTCCCTTTTATTGGTAACAGCCACTATGTAGAATGCAGAGGCAAAACAGATTAGCCTCCAGTTCAGGGGTGAAATGTAAAATTTGTTACTGCCGGTTCTGTGGGCGTGGCTTGGTGGTGGTGGGGTAATGTGACTGGGTGTGCGTGGCCAACTTTTTTTTTTTAACTTTTCAAAGCATTTTTTCTAATGCTTTGAAAAGCCTCTGCCAATCAGGCAACTCAGCTGGGATCATCAGAGAGGCTTTTTTAAAAATACCTCTCTGCAGATCAGGCAACTCAGCTGGGATCGTCGGAGACTTTTCAAAGCATTTTTTACCACCTCTTCGGCCAAGAGGTTGCAGAAAAAAATGCTTTGAAAAGCCTCTGACTATCCCAACTGAGCTGCACGATCATCAGAGGCTTTTTTTTTTACTTTTAAAAGCATTTTTTCGTCGGAAGAGGTTGTAGAAAAAATGCTTTTAAAAGTAAAAAAAAAAGTCTCTGATGATCCTGTGGCTCAGCTGGGCATGTGGGGGGGGCGCAGGGATTTTTGCTACCGGTTCTCCGAACTACCACCGGATCAAGTGACCCGTTCCGAACCGGGAGCATTTCACCCCTGCTCCAGTTCCTCTAATCTTAATGATCTTTTAGGATAAATGTTGAACAGCCAGGGCAATTTATAATTTAAAGTAGGATTAAAAGATAAGCAAATAAATAATGGTCCTGTCCCAAAGAACATTACAATAAAAGAACAAAATAAAAAAGAGTAAAAGAACAGTTACAATAATGAAAAATGAAATAATGAAAAATGTGATTGGTAAATTAAAATCCAAACAATAAAACCACTGGCCTCTAAAAAACAGACTAAATATAAGTGATTTTTAAACTGTATTTTATAAAGGCAGAATGGTAGTCAAATGCAACCGCTTAATGAGTGCCTTCCAAACTCTGGGAATGATGCAGGAAAAGCCTAATACATGAGTCTCAAAAAGCAGTGCAGCTTCGGAGTTTATCCTACAGATTTCAATGTCTGCTGAAATTTATTCCCTTAAGTAGTCAGGCTCTAAGTGCTTAAAAAGGCAATTCCCATTTGGTTCTCCTAATGCCTAAGGGAAACGTAGTCCAAGCTTTCTGGAAAGGACCAGGTTGCCCATCACTATCCAGGAGTTTTCACTTCCCTTTTTTATTTTAACTAAATATTTGGTATTTGTTTTCCAATTGATAGGATCCCAGGAGTCCTAAGCTTCTCAATATCCTATAAGTGACAGGGGAAATTTATGATTCTTCTCATGAAAGCAGATGGCGGAGTCAAACTCACCATGTGGGAGACATTTTTGTTTCCCCATGTGATTTCCGCCAATTAAATTATCTCTGGAAGCCACAACCTACATTTCCCATTGCAACAAAAGTTATCTGAACCTGCAGTATTCAACTTCACTATTTGTTTGTTTGTTTGTATGTATGTTTAATTTATATGCCTCCCCATCTCATCTGTAGGGAATTGTAGGTGGCCTAGAATCAATATAAACAAAATAAAACATTAACATATTAAAACAATAAATGTTAACCCTAAAATTATTTTTAAAATATAAATCTTACTAAGTAGAGGATACAACAATGGTTCTCTTGAACTATCTATAACACGGGTGTCAAACTCGCAGCATCATGTTGCTGTCACGTGCTGTTTCATGACATTTTCCCCATTCGCGGAGCTGAGGTGGGCGTGGCCTACGTGTGACGCATCTGGCCTGCAAGCTGCCAGTTTGACACCACTGATTTATTATATATAGCTATAGTTCCCTGTGAAGACTTTTAATCAATAGAACTTTTTCTCTTTCATGCCACAACAGACACAAAGAATTCAAAATAATTTTAGAGGTAAAGTTTTGGATGCAGTATGTGGAAAAGGTTTTTACTTTATTCCCAAATGTCAAACTTTAAAGGTAGCCCAATAAGTTGCTTTCTCACAGTTTAGGCAGTACCTTGTTTGTGACGTCATATGAGATCACAACTGTATTAATACATTTTGCAAATATGAGAGGCTTCATATAAAAAAGAAATTAAACTATTGATATTTCCAATTTCTCCCCCAAAATTTTATCAGAAAGGTTTTTTTGTATTCTATATTCGCAGATATAATTTATCTGCGTTTAAAATAGGCATTGGTAACCAGAGTTTTACAAACATCTATCAATATGTCTGCCACCTGATTTGGATGCCAAAAATAAATATTGAAAGCAAAAATGTAATATAAACCCACAAAGCAGAATGTCAGTCTCATCACCTTTATTTCTAGGAAAGCTTCAATGCCCTACAGAGGAGAATACTGGGTGGGTGATGATATCACCATCTACCTAGAAGTTGAGATTCCTGTTGCCCTCCATTTTCACCACCAAGAAGACAAAAGACCAATGGTATAGGAGAAGACATTCTGAGCAAATAAGGATAGACTTAGATGTCTGCTGTTATTAAACTTAATTTTAAATGTCTAGGAGACAATCTGTGACTTGCTGGGTCAACCTTTCAGGCCTGTTTCCTTACCAGGACCTTCAGCACCTTCATCAAGGACGAAGCTCCCAATGTGATGCCTTCACTTGAAAAGCTGGGCATACACCCAGAGATAGCCCCTATTGAGTGATACTGTATAGCACAGTCAAATGACAGCATAGGAAATGATTTGTGACATTCTGTATTACATCACAATCTATTAGCTAGGTGTGGATAGATGCTAGGTATATACCCTTTATACCCCAGAGCAACTTTGTAGCTTTGAATATGGAGTGTTGTAAGCAAAAGAGAGAAAGGGAGAGAGAGGGAGGGAGGGAGAGAGGGAGGGAGAGAGGGATACCTAGTTGGGTAATGAAACATTGCAAGAAAACAACTCTACTCAGAGAGCACCAAAGACTCCACAGTTCAGCCATGAGCTAAAAATATCCTCTTCTTTTGATAAGGAGTGTGTGCTTTATGTTCTTCTCTTCTGATGATATGCACATACCAATCTACTCTTTCTATGTTCAGGTAAACATTAGTTGGTTTAATTTTCCAGGTAGTTCTTCTCAAGAGAACTTGAAGTGTGGCAAATAATTGAACAATGCAGAGAAACATTAGGGGGGAAGCAAAAAAAAAATCCCCCTGAAAATTAAGCTGTTAAGCTTTTTGAGCCTCTGGAGAACTTTCACTGTGGAAAGTCTTGATGGTCCTCAACAAGCAGAGAATTGGAATGATTCAGGATTTGTAATCTAGTCTGAGCTAATGTCCCATTGAGCATTCAAAGAATCCAAGATTTTTATAGTCCAGAATGGATTTTGGGGAGTTTCCTGTAAAGCTTCAGAGATACAGGTAGTCCTTACGACTGTAATTGAGCCCACAATTACAGTTGTAGGCCATGACGGGTGTTAGAGTCACCATATGACTGCACCAAGACTTTATAACTTTTGTGGGGGGTTTTAAGTGAATTTGGTGATCGTAAAAGATACACCATGATATCTCAGTGTACACCGCACACTTTTTTACCAGAAATTAGACAGTAAACACTGTTATCAATTGTAGTCATGTGACAGGGGCATCTTGCAAATGGCCAGGAATGATGCTGAACACCCAAAATTCAGTAACATGACCTCAGGGGAGCCCTCAGATGTTGAAATTTCTCATCTTTTCTAAACTAATGCTATATACATTCCTTCAACCAGATATTTGGTGGCAGCTCTCCTGATATCTCACTTGGCTTGAGATTTCTTGATAGCTAACATTGGCGACTATTTAACTTTGATTATTATCTTCCTGCACTTTTGGAGGCTTAAATGTTCTGCTGCTGCTGCTGTAAAACAAAGGCAGGCTCTTCATTTGTATTTCAGGAATATTGCTTTTATTTGAACTATATACTGTAGCTGTTTGAAACTCTAATGAGGATTATAATAGGCAATGACTTGTTAAAAAATGTGCAAAGTATTCAATTTTTTTTTACTCATATGAATAACATTTTACACTCAACAGTAATTGTTATCACTTTTATTTAACCACATGTTTCCTTTTAAAGAATCAATAAAAACGGATGTGTGCATAACATTTATCCTTGAGCTGAGGTATGGAATAGAGTTTGTATTACAATAGATGTGTTTTAAATTGATTGTCTACACTTTGTACCTACATTAAAGCCTCATGATGATAGCAACGGTTTATGAAAACATGCCAGTTTGTTTATATTGCCCTCCAGATTTTTGATTCTGATTTCTGTAAGTTGAATTGGGAAAGCATATTATTTTAATTCAGAGTTTCAGAAATCAACATCTGAAGTCATAATTTACAATGCCATGCCATGGATATAAAGTTTTGTTGTTCTCAGAGGGTTAACACTAGCTGAATTGGTAGGAATTTAATCTTAATGAACTCCAATATTCTTCAATATTCTTCCAGTTCTTTAGAACAGTCCGAAGATACAATGGATTGCTAAAACAGAAGGGAAGGCAAATAATATATTTTTTTTAAATTTGATTTATATGCCACCCTTCTCCGGAGACTCAGGGCGGCTTACAATGCGTTAAGCAATAGCCTTCATACTTTTGTATATTTTATACAAAGTCAGCTTATTGCCCCCACAAACTGGGTCCTCATTTAACCTACCTTAGAAAGGATGGAAGGCTGAGCCAACCTTGAGCCTGGTAAGATTCGAACCTGCAGTAATTTGATAATAATATAATAATTTATGCAACCCTGTTTAGAAAACCTAATATTCCTACCTAATAATTTCCCAACTGTTTAGGATGGTGTATCTGATCAGGTGTTCCATCTGCCTACCTATGACTGAAAAAGGTATGTTGAGTCCATAGTTGTTGAGTAGACATGGTAGTCATCCACTATATATGGAAGGTCTACAGTCCAGCCCTGTTAGGCATTATAAAAAGGAATTGCCAAGAGGGTGGTGGGAATGAGTGCCATCCTTTTCTGTCCCACCAGAAACTGCTAAATTTTGCCTTTCTACAAATATCACTATGAAAATTAATCATTAGTTCAAATTGAGAGAGGAAAGACTTATTGTTGCTTTTCTAGCACTTGACTTCTAAATCTTGGATTGAAATGCCTGAAGAGGAGATTGATTGATTGATTGATTGATTGATTGATACCTCTCTTTCTTCCTTTCTTTTTTCCTTCCGTCCTTCCTTCCTTCCTTCCTTAATTCATTCATTCCTTCCCTCCCTCCCTCCCTCCCTCCCTCCCTCCCTCCCTCCCTTCCTTCCTATTACTGCATTTCATCCAATTGTCTCTTTTCTACCCTTTGTACTAGGGTAAGCTAAGATTCCCACCATTAGTACTATTATTCTTGCTTCTGCTCCTGTTCCTGCTCCTTTGTTTTCCTTTCAGCTACATTTGTAAATAAACCTGTTTTGCAATACTAGCACACAATATTTTTTGCATCTTTCTGTGCAATTTTTGTGTTTCCAAATATAACAATAACAACCATTTATTAAAATTACATGCCATCTCTGACTCCAAGGGATTCTGGGTGGTTATGATATGAGTGAAATGTATGTCTCATTGATCTTCTATAAGAGCTATATCTAATAAAGTGAAAGAAGAATATGATATACCTTAATGACATACATCATAATAAAGCAGGTATGTGGCCAATCTATTGGAAATTTATTTGTTCTCCTCATTTCGTACTTCAGCAAATGAAAGCAAGTAACACTATTCCCCTTTTCCTTTTCACTCTTCTGTGTCCATTGTACACCCAAGCACCATGCAATCTGGGCTAAAAATTAATCAAAGAAAGCCTTCCCTCTGCTTTCCTTCAGTAAAGATCCACTCATGAAAATGTCATCCTTTTACCAATATGAGCTTCTTTTCATAGGAGGGCTTCCACTCAGAGGTGGGTTTCAGCAGGTTCTGACCAGTTCTGGAGAACCGGTAGCGGAAATTTTGAGTAGTTCGGAGAACCGGTAGTAAAAATTCTGACTGGCCCCACCCCCATCTATTCTCTGCCTCCCAAGTCCCAGCTGATTGGGAGGAAATGGGGATTTTAGTTTAGTTTAGTTTAGTTTATTTGATTTGTATACCGCCCTACTCCCGAAGGACTCAGGGCAGTGAACAGCCAAACAATAAAATACATAGATACAAAAAATTTAAAAACCAGATAAAATCAAATTAAATCATTTTGGCCCAGACAGATTAAAACACCCCAATAATTGAAAAACAGATTAAAATTTACATATTTAAAACAGGGAAAAGGATTTTGCAGTAACTTTCCCCTGGATTGGGGAGGGAATGGAGATTTTACAGTAGCCTTCCCCTGCCACACCCACCAAGCCATGCCACGCCCACCAAGCCACACCCACAGAACCGGTAGTAAAAAAATTTGAAACCCACCACTGCTTCCACTCATTGGAAAGTAATGTGTAACCCTTAGTTAAGAAGACAAAATAGCAAAAGGCCAATTTCTAATGGTAGTGTCCTTGCAAACTCTATATATCAAGGCTTCTGGCCATATTGTACTGAGGGGTATGTTTGAGATAGTGGGGAAAAAATACTAGCATTGGAGGCCTCCTGCAAAATGTCTTTTGGGAGGCCTTGTCCTGACTCAAAGCACAGATTTAGCAGCATGTTACTTGCAACTGTGTTCCTCCTGCCCATGTTCTATTTCTGGGCATAGTCACAAGCAAAGTTAGTGGGCCATAAACACTTGTCAAGCTTATGGGATCCTTATGGGAGCCCAGGGCCATTATTAAAATAAAAGTGATGCTGAAAGCTGGCAGTGTACTTTGCAACATGTCAGGTTTACTATGGCCATATATGTTTCACTGAAACCAAGTCCTGGATCTTTTCCTTCCAGGGATGTTCAGAAAAATTTGTATAGCAGTAAGATTTATTTCTATAAAGAAAGGAGCATTATGTTTGGAGAACAGTCTTGACATTATCCAGAATAGCTGGAGACATTTGCCAAGAGCATTATCTTGTACTTTATAGAGCTAAAATGAGTCAAAGCAAATAAAAGCATTTATGTTTGTTCCTGCCGTATGTAGAGAATAATGAATCATGCTTTAGGTGCTGTATCTTCCTCTTAGATAAATGTGAAACCTTTTGTCCAGAATTATAATGAGATCCTTTTGTACCAATTCGTTCTCTATTTCTAAACATTCCTATATGGGGTTAAATGAGGAAGAAGCAGGTACATGGTTTATCCTTTTAAATCATATTTTATAGGATTAAAATTCAGACTGTATTGCATGAACATAATGGTAGGAACATTGTGTGTTGCATTGTCTGTGTGAACCAAATAACAGTGCCATAAGATACCATAAATATATGTGGCAATGACTTTGAAGGACAAGGAAAGAGATGCTGCCTAAGAAACAGTCAAACAAGAGAGGGAGGAGCCCACAGTTGCTCAACGGTCAAAGGAATAAGTTTAGGAAGGACCCAACCTCGTTGATCAGGCTTTAGTAAGAAATGGTGGGAGATTTGTACTTTCAGATTTGCAAATTTTTGTTAATATAGCTTTACAATAAAGCTCACCTGGTTGTGTCTCATATCTGGTTTACCTGGAAGGGCTGATAGATACTCCTGTGTTATATGTTATACCTTCCTGTTTAGACTCTCTTGGTATCAGATTTTAA